CAAGGAGACTGGAACAACCAATCTCATTTGGCCAGTTAGATGGGTCCATAGCAGGGGGGGTGCCAGCTACCCTAGCCACTTTACCAATACACCTCTCCCTGGGCAAACATGAGGAGGACATAACGTTTGTGGTGACCCCAGGCATGGAATGCCCAATGATCTTAGGGATGGAATGGTTACAAAAATGGAACCCCTGGGTGGATTGGAGGACAGCAGAAATCAAATTCCTGAAGGGGGACCCTATGGACTTAAAATCCCAAGGGGGGCTACCAGAATCAAGAACAGAAAAAGCATCCATAGGAGAGGAAAAGGGGCTACCAGAAATACCAGAGGAATACAGAGACCTTGCTGAAGTTTTCAGTGAGGAGAGGGAGGATGAGCTCCCCCCCACCAACCCACAGACTGTGCCATTGAATTCAAACCTGGGGCAAAACTCCCGAAGCCCAGATTATACTCCATGAGCCCAAAGGAGAAGGAGGAAATGGAAAGATTCATAAAGAAAAACCTAGAAAGGGGGTTCATTGAGCCAGCCAAGCCTAAAGTGGCTGCCCCGGTCCTCTTTAGAGAGAAGAAGGACGGTTCTTTACGCTTATGCATGGATTATAGGGCCCTGAATACAATAAGTGAAAGCAACCTATACCCCCTGCCGCTCATGAAAGACATGTTGTCACACCTCTCGAATTTGAAAGCCCTGAAAACACCCAGGAAGCTCAACCCCAAACAAGCCCGCTGGTCCCAGCATTTCCACCAGTTCCAATTTAAAATCAAACATTTGCTGGGGAGAAAGAAAAACAAACATGTGTGCACAATGAGAGATGGGTTGCCTTGGGTAGGGGAAAAGTTATATATACCAACAACCCAGAGAGTCACATTCATGCAACTTTGCCATGACACAAAATCAGCAGGGCATTTTGGATTTGTAAAAACATTACACTTAACTAAATGGCAATTTTGGTGGCCATCCATAAAAAAGGACATAGAAAGCTACGTGGCCAGCTGCCCAAAGTGTGCAACGGCAAAGAGGTTGCAAGGAAAATCGCCAGGACTATTACAAACAGTGGCAAATCCCTCAGCCCCTGGAGGGAAATAGCCATGGATTTTATAGTGGAATTACCAGAAAGCAATGGGAATACTGTTGTCTGGACCGTCACGGACTTGTTTTCCAAACAGGTACACTTTATCCCTTGCCAAAAGATTCCCATCGCAAAAGCTTTAGCGAAACTTTTCATCCAGCACATTTACAGATTGCATGGGGCACCCCAAAGCACCATCTCTGATAGGGGAGTGCAATTTATGTCTGCATTTTGGAAGGAATTTTTATCCCTGTTAGGGACCACTCAGGGACTAACATCTAGCCATCATCCACAGGGAAATGGGGGGGCTGAAAAAATGAACTCTGCATTTGAGCAATATTTAAGATGTTTTTTGAATTTTCAGCAGTCCGATTGGACGGACCTACTCCCTTTCGCAGAAGTTGCCTACAATAATGCAGTCCACTCCAGCACCGGTTACACTCCTTTTCAAATAGCCAATGGTCAAAGTTTTAACCCCATGCCAGAATTAACCCCAAACGAACCAAAAATCACATCACTGAAAGAATGGATAGAAAAACTACAAAACACCTGGCCAATAGTTAGAAAAGCACTAGACCAGTGGTTCTCAACCTTTTTAATGCTGCGACCCCAACTGGTCGTAAGTTGAGGACTAAACTGGTCGTAAGTCGAGGACTACCCAACCGGTCGTAAGTCGAGGACTTTCCCTGCCTGGGAGCGCCGCGCATGCGTGGTTCTGCCCCCTGCGCCAGACGAGGCGTAGCTGGCAAGCGGCAGAGACGGAGCAGGCCGACCACCAGCTGGCCCAGCCCAAGGGAGGTAAGGCATCCGCCGGAAAAGGGGAAAAAATGGCAGACAAAAAAAATGGCAGACAAAAAAAATGGCGGACAGCCTTGCTTGGCGACCCCCATGAAATGGTCGATTGACCCCAAATGGGGTCCCGACCCACAGGTTGAGAACCACTGCACTAGACGAAGCTATGCAGGCATACAAAGCACAAGTCAATAAAAAAAGGGTTGAGCCTACACCATTCATTATAGGAGAAATGGTGTACTTATCTACAAAATACCTAAAGTCCCTACAGCCCTGTAAAAAACTGGGACCAAAATATATAGGGCCTTTTCCAATTAAAAGAATCATAAACCCAGTAACAGTAGAATTAGAATTACCCAAAAATCTCAGGCAAATACACCCAATTTTTCATTGCAGCTTGCTGAAAAGAGAGCATCAATCATCGTTACGGCCAAAAATTCCCCCCCACCACCACCTCCAATCATGGTGGAAGGCGAACAACACTTCGAAATAAAGGAAATCCTAGATTCTAGGAAATATCATGGAGCAACTCAGTACCTAGTTGTCTGGAAACACCTCCCTGCCTCACAAAACGAGTGGGTCCATAAACGTCATGTCAGAGCCCAGAAGCTATTAAAGAAGTTTCACACAGAGTATCCTAACAAACC